CTCCGGCAATGCATGCTCCGATCAACCTACCCACCCCATCTACTCATTCCCAACTTCCAAAAAATTTCCAGAATTTCAAGTCACAATCGGTCACAATGAGTCACAATTAACCGGTCACAATCGGTCACTAATGGTCACAAACGGTCACAAACGGTCACAATCGGTCACAAACGGTCACAACGAACTACTCGGTAGTCAAGCGCGATCTGGTAATACATCAAAAAAGCTTCACCAATCAGAAAAGGTAATTTTTCCTTGTAACAACAGCAACCTTAAATCTTCTTATTTGTAACAGAAAAGAGTACTGTGCAGATATCCAAATTTCCACGCAAACTCACAGAGAGACACGCATAGGAAGAGAAAGAGAGAGAGAGACAGGGGGAGATGCAATGGAATGAACCCAGTTTTCCAAACAGACCAACACTTCCAATCCAATCAACAAAACCAACATCACAATCACCGAACCATCAGCGCTTGAAATTCAACACTTGTACTCTCCCTCTTCCTCCTTTTCTTCAGCAACAAACCCCTTCTTTTCCTCATAAATATTTTTAATTATAATATATTACAATTACCCCAATTTATTAAATTTCAAATTCAAATCATTCTATTTCTCTCTACTCTCTATCATCTCCCTACCCATTCTCTCCATCGGAGGCGGCCATCTACTCCGACGGCCAATCCGGCGACATTCCGGCAACCTCTCCGGCGACGTTCCGACGGCCACTCCGGCAATGCATGCTCCGATCAACCTACCCACCCCATCTACTCATTCCCAACTTCCAAAAAATTTCCAGAATTTCAAGTCACAATCGGTCACAATGAGTCACAATTAACCGGTCACAATCGGTCACTAATGGTCACAACTGGTCACAAACAGTCACAATCGGTCACAAACGGTCACAACGAACTACCCGGTAGTCAAGCGCGATCTGGTAATAAATCAAAAAAGCTTCACCAATCAGAAAAGGTAATTTTTCCTTGTAACAACAGCAACCTTAAATCTTCTTATTTGTAACAGAAAAGAGTACTGCACAGATATCCAAATTTCCACGCAAACTCACAGAGAGACACGCATAGGAAGAGAAAGAAAGAGAGAGAGAGAGAGAGAGAGAGAGAGAGAGAGAGAGAGAGAGAGAGAGAGACAGACAGGGGGAGATGCAATTGAATGAACCTAGTTTTTCCAAACAGACCAACACTTCCAATCCAATCAACAAAACCAACATCACAATCACCGAACCATCAGCGCTTGAAATTCAACACTTGTACTCTCCCTCTTCCTCCTTTTCCACAGCAACAAACCCCTTCTTTTCCTCTTGATTCCCTTCTCCAACACCTTCTTCACGTTTCCTCTCCCATTAAATCATCCTTGAATTCCTCTGCTATTATTTCGATTGGGGGAGATTATTAGGGTTTGGGGTTGGGTGAAGAGGAAAATGATGAAAAAGCACCAGATTCCTCTGTCGGTGAAGAGCTGCTGCCGTTGAAGTTGAGTGGAAGATGAGATACACGAGTGAGGAAGAGAGGCAGGGAGTGAAAATAAGAAGCGGGTTTGGAGATGAATGATTTATTAATTACAATTAATAATTCTAATTAGCACCTGATTTGTGAAAATAAAACTTAACCCCCTTCTTTTTGAAATGTAATCTTTAAATGCAGGTTTCAGGTAATTTTGCCGTTTCAAAATCATCGACACTCAGTCCTAAAAGTTCGAGTATCGAACTTTACCTAAAAGTTTAAGCCCAATTGTTTAATTATATTCATCATATTCTCATCAACGGCCTAACATTAAAAAAATGGTATGGTTTTCTTGAGAACTTATAATATATTAAGGTTTATAAAATATTAGAAAATAATAAAAAGAAGGAAAATGTTTATAATATTAATAATTATTGAAGACAGGCCAGAAACAAATTAAACGGCCAACCATATTAATCTCTAATTATTGGACTAATATACAGAAGAAATATAATCATTCACTCGTATTTTCTGCTTTCCACACAAATATCATCAATCCAATTCTTTCTTTTTCTTATGGATCTTTTTACTTGTACGACTTGATTGAGTCTGAAACGGTAATCGATTGATAAGAGAGTTTTTCCTACTCCAAAACCAGAATCATGAAAGAACAAAGTAGAAACTCTATATAGTTTTTGTTTTTTTAATATCATAGCTACAGTTGATCAAAGGTAAATAGTGTTGAAATATTCTCCAGCCCTCTCCAGTTCAACCCAGCCTATTAAACCAGTTCAACAGCAGCTCCTTCTTCCTTCTTACAGATTCTAGCTTATTCAAGATACTTCTTTAGTTTGTTATCTTATTAGTTTGTTAGATAATTTGTTGGCTATTTTCTCTATAAATAGAATAGATTGCATTGTAATTTTCCGAAGTAAGATTGAATGAAAATTAATCTTCTTCCTTGCATCTCAGCAGGTCTATCCCGGTTTCTGTCATTTTTATTTTCAGTTTGTTTGTTAGTTTTCCTTCCTTGATTTGATCATGGTATCAGATCAGGAAAAAAAAATTCCAT